TATGAGAGAAAGGGAGAAATCCTAATCAAGAGATTTGAATAGCTACTTCACAGAAACATAAAAAAGATCAATAAAGGGAAAAAAATTAATCTCATAATAACAAAAAAAATAAAAATAAACCCTACAGAACGAGGTCAAAAAAAATTTATGTCTATGCAACCTATGAGAGAAAGGGAGAAATCCTAGATAATCAAGAGATTTGAATAGCTACTTCACAGAAACATCAAAAAGATCAATAAAGGGAAAAAATTAATCTCATTATCATCAGAGAAATACAAATGAAACCTACAGTACGATGTCATAACACATTTAGTCAAATAAAGCTTTTAAAGTCAACACTACACTGCATTGTTGAAGGGGTAATGGCACAATTCGGATTCTCAGACACTAGCAGTAAAAATGTAAAGCAGTACAACCACTTGGGAAAACTGTTATCTCCTAAAATGAACATGAAGTTCTGTTGTAAGGAAGACACTCTGACAGAATGATCTGCCTGCTTGATACATGTTCCTGACAGCACAGTTTGCATTTCCCTGCTACTGGAAATAGCTGGATTAGCAATCAAGAGCAAATGGGATGCCAAGAAAACGAACCTCGTTTTCAGGAGAGCGGTTATTTTGATATGGGGAGCTGGGGGACTCCTAGATAATTGGGAGTTGTAGTTGACTTTCCAATCCTAAATTTAGAGTTTTGCTTTATTGGTGTTCTTTAGAATACTAAATAAGGCAGGAGGGATAGAGGTGGTAAAAGAGACTCTTGCATTTGGAATGATGGGGCTCTCAAACCAAATACATATGCTATAGCAAAGGAAATTGATACGTCATCTGGAAATTACTGAAATTTCGGGGTTTGTTTATGACAATCATGTTAATGAAATTATGCCATGGCTTTAATATCTCATTTGAAATTAAAATTATTTTAATTGGCAGATCCAAAACCTCAAAATCAATTAACTTCTATGTGCCAATGACACAGTTCTATTATCTCTAGTTTTAAAAAGTGCTCTAATAGTTTTAGAGCTCTTGAATCTCCACATGAAAGGAAACATGACATGGAAGGTTAGCATTTAATTTGAGATTTCGCTAATAATAGCTTCATGATGTTATCTAATACTTTGAAAGATAACTTCTTTTTCTTTTAAAATATTGGGACTGGAGAGATGACTCAGCAGCTAAGAGCACTGGCTGCTCTTCCAGAAGACTCAAGTTTGATTCCCAGCACCCACATGGAGGATAACAACCATCTGTAGTTCCAGTTCCAGGGGATTTGACACCCTCTTCTATTGCATGACATGGGTACACCTACCAACATGCAGGCAATGTATTCATACACATAAAATAAATAAAATAAGTTTTAAAACAAGTAATCGAGCCAGGTATGGTGGCATACACCTTTAGTCCAAGATGAGAATCCCTGTGAGTTTGAGGCCAGCCTGGTCTACATAATGAGTTCCAGGCCAGCTGGGGCTACAGGGAGACCCTGTCTCAAAAAGACAAACCCCCATTTCATTATTTATTTAATTATTTACTTATTTATTCATTCATTCAGTCAGTCATTCAGTCAGTCATTCAGTCATTCAGTCAGTCAGTCAGTCAGTCAGTCAGTCAGTCAGTCAGTCAGTCAGTCAGTCTTTTTGAGACAGAGTTTCCCTATAGCCCCAGCTGGCCTGGAACTCACTATGTAGACCAGGCTGGCCTTGAACTCACAGAGATCCACCTGCCTCTGCCTCCCAAGTGCTGGGACTAAAGGCATGCAACACCACACCTGGCTAAAGTATACACTTTTTATATATTAAGAAAAGGCAAGAATTTTACCTTTTTTCCACTGAGAAAGTAAAAACCAATGGCTCTAGCCTCTTCTCTATTACTACTCTCAAAGTCAATAAATAAAAGGAATGAAACATGATACGATGGGAGCTTTCTTTGTTGACAAACTAACCAATTCTAGAAAATAATACAGTAAATATGATTTACACCATGGATGAAGCCCAGGAGTCATTAGGGTTAGAATTCAAATGCACATACAATTTATCACATGTTCAATGTTCAACTGGAAAACATAGGCACACATACAAACCTGGATTTAAGCAGGTTAGGCAAGGTCTTTAAATAAATCTGAAGCACGTCCTGAGGCAAACACTGTTTTGGTTGGCTACACTTGTGAGTCTGAGCTGAAGGAATGCTTAGGTGTTGACAATGATGCACTAATTCAACTCCTCTGTGAAGCACAGGATTAAAAATGTAATTATACAACTTCCACTGAACAACTACGTTGCCTTTCTGGATTAAATTGCAAATGTGATTTGCGATCTGTATGTTATATAATCTATCTTCTTGAAAGACAAAGTTCTGATAAGCCTCTAACGCATCCCATTTCCACAACAAGTCTTCAGACCCACTGCTGGGAAGGATCCCCCGAAATCGGTAAGAAGGACTGGGCAAGCCCGAGGCAGAGCCAGCATCACATGACATGCCCTGCAGTGCCTCTTCTAACTTGGCCAGTTGGTCAGAGTCCACCGTGCAGACATTGCAAGCAGCTTTTCTGATTCTCTGTGGTATCTCTGCTCCTCCTAACTGATCCAAAAGAAGTTTGCTAAGGACATTCAGTATGTGCTGCTGGAAATTTCTCAGTACTGGCAATTTAAAAGCATGGAGCAAAGGGACAATCACAGACTTGGGATCCATACAGCAACAGATTCCAACACTGTGAACACCTGATAGGATCTGGACACAGGTGTTACTCAGGGAAGCCTGCTGCAGCAAGCGCAAGCACTGGTGAGCACACACTGCAATGCAACAGCACCGCTCGGGGTACTGCACACCTCCATCCACAGTCTCTTCAAAAGGGTTTCCGGAAAGCTGGTTTTTAAAAGCCGAAACCAGAAGACCTGAGAGATCTCGGTGGTGATGCATAAAGTGTGAATACTCACAGCGCCTGTGCCTTTTCCTCGTACACATGGAGTGATGAAGTTGCTCTGATTTCACTTTTTTGACAGTGCTCATAATTTTCATTATACTATTTATCAGGCCTTTCAAATGCTCTGTGGCCTCAGGAGGAACGCCGTCTCTTGACACCAGCCATTCCATCTGGAGAACTGCTGTTTCAAACAGATTGAATCCTTGGTGCTGGATGAATTCTTGAACCAAATCCATGGCTTGACTGAAGTAGAAGGGATTTGAAGCTGCACTTTGAAGACAACAGATCAGGAGCTGTAGCACTCCTTCCAGAAGCTCAGGGAGGAGAAGGGCTCTATGACGAAACTTGGAAAACACAAAGCTCTCCTGGACCTCCTGTAGGGTTTTCTTTTGTCTTGGTGCGAAAGGGTCAGGCTGCTTTTCCAAGCAAGCTCTAATTTTTAAAGCTGCCCTAAGTAATTCAGTCAAATTTTTTCTAAGACTTTCTGGCATTGCCTCTGTAGTGCTAACATCTACTGACATAAGATGCAGCACAGTTCGAAAGAGCATCCTCTGAACCAAAGCCACCGGCTCTTCAGTCCAACCTGTAGAAACCACTTGGTTTGCCACACTGTCCCTCTGGTTACAGCAGTCCCCAAAGCTGGCTAGGAATTCAGTCAGTGTAGGCACTACACTGGCTGCAAGGGAAGAATTATGATTCAAAACAATGTCAAATTTGCAAACTTTTTCCAATAAAGATAATAGGACATGACACAAGTCAAAGGGAGAATTACTCATGTTACTGAGAATAGACAAGGCTGCTGGCTCACTTAAAATGTCACTGTTTGAATCCTGTCTCGGAATGATCTCTCTCGAGTTTTCCAAAGCCATGATGTTGGGAAGGGCCTGTTCTTTGGTTGCAGAGGGGTCGAGTTTAGCTAGAGGGTGGTCTTCCTTAGGAGACTGTGTTGCAAGGTGTGGCAGCACATGGGACCTCCTGTGCTTACTCACCACTATGCTTTTCTCGTCTGAGTTGCCTTCTGAGTCAGAGGTGGAGAGCTGTGTCTTTCTTGCATCTCTTACAGAATAGCGATGGGTACTTTTACGCTGTCGTCTGCTTTTTTGATAAAGGTTGACTTTTGCAGAAACATGACCAGATGGAGTACTTCCTTCTAAATATAATTTTCCCTGAGTAGATCTTTGCAAGCTTGGGTTCTTTTCTTTGGTCAGGATTATATCAGATGACAATGGCCCACTAAAATCTAAAGAAATGAAAAAGGCTTAGAATACGCCAATATCTGTCAAACGCAATTTGTGATGACTCTTACCCCCATATTATGAGTCTGGCCTGGTACAATTCTGCTGCAAGATTGCTCTCCCTAGTCATGTCCTTAAATACGTCCTCCCACATGTCTTCCTCAATCTCAGCAGCAGGTGGCATCAGCTCAAAGGATACACATTTATTTTGAAACAGTAAAGAACAGAACTAGGAAAGCAGACCTGACCTGAACCTGTGCACTGCATTTTAATTTCAAAATACCAGACTGGATTATCTAGCTGCTGTGCACACCACTTTACAAACCTCTAATAGTAACATAACGAAGATACAGGTTAGTTTGTAGCTTTTCAGAATTTTAATATGTCCTAAAATGAATTCGAAATCATACAGTATATGGCCAGTATCATTAAGACTGAGGTTAAATAACTTCTTCATTCAAGCACTTCTCTAGGGCCTCATATCCCCAGAGCTTGAGACAGCAGTCAACAACCAGTGAGAAACTAGCTAAGTTTATCTTTCTCTTTGCAGTAATATGTGATATGATCCATATGAGAAAGAGTTGTGATTTACAGGGAATAAATAACAAATCTGTTAATGAAAGTTTGTGCTTTTGAGTCAGGGTCTCCCTGTAGCCCCAGCTGGCCTGAACTCACTATGTAGTCCTGAATGGCCTTGAATTTTCAGAGATCTTGCCTGCCTCTGCCTCCCGAGTGCTGGGATTAAAGGCGTGTGCCACCATGCCTGGCAAGTTTGTGCCTTCTTTAAGAGAGGGAAACAAAGCAGACAAGAGCAGAAGTTAAAGGCCAATTCCACCCAGCATAAGATATTAGCAAGGAGGACTACTTCCCTAAAAGGTGCCGAGCAGATTTCCTAAGTGGCTAACAATTTTTTAATTCTACAAATTTAGAAAACTGTAGCAGCAGTTACTGAATCAATAAATAAGCAGGCAAATAATATTATAAAATCTTAAATATCTTCCTTAGAAGAGTTCTATAATGAGATATGCAATAAAAATACAAACAAAGCATTAGAATACAATACAGGAGGATTATTTTTTAACTGAAGAGATTCTTTTTTTAAATAAATAATTTATTGAGAATTTCATACAGGCATATAAGCATATAAGGTGTTTTGATCAAATCCATGCCCATTCCCTCTCCTCCAATTCCTGCCATATTTCCCCATCACTTTTTTCTGATAAACTTCATGTACTCTTTCTTCTTTAACTGAAGAGATTCTTAAACAACTCCAGAAATGGTCCAAGGGAAAACCTGTTCATCTTTCCACGGAAGTACTTAAAAGTTTCATATATTTATACATACATATTTCTCAAAGTCAGAAAATAAAAATACCCATTGACCTCAAGTGTCATCATCTTGAAACAAAATATGTACTTCAAATTTATCCTTCAAAGGAAAAATTAAGAAAATTAAACTAAAACAAATATTGCAAAAGCCATTTTAGAGCACTGATAATAGAAAGCAGTGTTACAGCAAAAGAACTGTAATTCCTTTTTTAAAAATTATTTATTTAATAACCACATACTTAGAAGAAGCATTTCATTACAACAGCATTGACATATTCAATAACAATTTTCTGAGCTAAGATGCATCTCTTTCAAAACTGGCTATAAATTTTTAGGTTTACAGTTGAATTATTACAGTTATATAATATTGTACTCAGTATAAACCCTATAAGACATAAAATTAAATGAGGTTTTAACCTTTAAAAAAGATCTCCATTTCATTATTAAAATGCAGTTTCATACAGAAAAATTCATTTTTAATGCAATTGACATTAAGATGGTGCAGCTGTTAAAGGCTAACAACCAAAAAGTAATACCTTTTTTCAAACTCTTCACTGTCCATTTTTCTAATGTTGTGGTTTATGCCTAAGTTTACTCCTTTAGTAAATGGTCTATTTCTTCATATATTTTCCAACTGTCATTTGTGCTAAGAAACACCATAGTTTTTTATATTACTAGAAGAAATCAAAATGCACTTACCTAATGAATTTCATACTAAGTATACAATAAATCACCATAACATAGATGGCTCTGAATCTGAATTTGAAGCTGCATTAACTATTCAGCAGAAGTAGCTTCTCAATGGGACTTTTTCCCCTGTGGATAATACGAGTGAGCAGGGGAAGGGGCCATACCTGCTGCCTGCTTTTCCTGGACAGGTATCTTCCACACCAGCGGAAGAAGCGACAGGAGAAGAGTCAGGAGTTCTTCTCTGCATGTCAGGGCCTGTGTCAGAAACAAGAGAGTGGTTCAAGTTCTAAGTGCCCAAGACATTTAGTTCTTAACTCTGTGTTCAACTGAACTACAAGACTCTTTTTCCTTTGGAAGGAAAAGCCGCATTTAAGAGACTAAGGGTCAAATTAACCTATCTTAAGTCCAATTCAAACTGTGATACTTTTCAATTTATAAGTCTTTCCAATGACAAAAGAATGTAAGAGTATGTGATGGTATTTAGCACATTCTCGATAACATTTCCAAAAACAGCTGTTATTTGCCACCACGCACATTGCAAGAATTCCTCACCTAGGAAAAAACAAGACTTGTTAAGTAGAAATGAAAAGTTAAGGCCTACAAATTAGCAAATTAATAACAAGGTTACTAGAAAAATGTCAGTTTTCATGCAGCTAAATTTAAAACTCAGAAAACAATTTTCAAAAGAGGTGACACTACTAACAAATAAAATATATGTGGATTTATCAGTGAAGGTGATTCGGTATACTCACTGACTGCACACTGTACCCACAGGACCTGCTATCTTACCTTTCTGAAGTAAGTGGTCCAAGCTGGAAAAGGTCCCTTCATTTGGTCATAAAATACATGCACACAAACAGAACAACAGAAGGCATCTATCAGAAAATTCCCCAGTACAGAGGTGATATTTAGTTTAGGAGTCCAGAGAAAAGAGCAATCAGCACTAACAGATGTGTTGAAGTAGGGCTGCAACCAGAGAGCGACACCTAGAACTTCTGGGACATGAGGGGTCAGGACTCAATGAGCAGTTGGTTAGGTGTTATTCCTTCTCACACCAATCTTGGAGAGGAGGTCATGGTGATACAATCATGTTTGCTGGGCAAAATTAGGGTAAATGGGAATAGCCAGTATAAGCAGCAGGGTCACTATGGTCCAATAAGAGATGATGACTAAAGTAACTCAGGCAACAAAGTTATGGAGACTTGTGAAAACCTGTACAGTAGAACTGAAATGGCTCATAGTTCATTTTCTATGAGGCACAGAGGAGGAGGAAAAACTAATCTAAAAAGACTCCTCAGCTGGGGTGGGGGCGAGGGGGTGGCGTGGTGGTGCACGCCTTTAATCCCAGCACTCGGGAGGCAGAGGCAGGTGGATCTCTGTGAGTTCAAGGCCAGTCTGGTCTACATATGAAATCCAGGCCAGCTGGGGCTACAGGGAGACCCTGTCTCAAAAAGAAAAAAATAATAAAAATAAAATAAAAAAGACTCCTCATGTATTTCTGGTTTAGACAACTTGGTGGCTGAGAATATTTTCACCAAGACAGGAAATCTTGTGGAGCAGTACGAAGGTCAGGGTAAAGATGAAGGATTGACTGTTAAAAAAATCTAAATTACATTTATTCATTTATTATTTATTTGTTTATTATTTATTTGTTTATTGTGTGTTGTTAGGCTTCGCAGAAAGTATCTTTACCTGCTGAACCACCTCACTCATCAAGTTTTTTTTTTTTTCTGTCTTTTTTTGAGACAGGGTCTCCCTGTAGCCTCAGCTGGCCTGGAACTTGCTATGTAGACTAGGTTGGCCTTGAACTCACAGAGATCCGCCTGCCTCTGTCTCCCAAGTGTTGGGACTAGAGGTGTGTGCCACCACGCCTAGCGTAGATTCATTTTTTAGACCTATAAAGTCAGAGATGCTGGTGGGATGTTCAATAGAGATAGCTTTTAGCAGACAGACAACACGCAGATCTGGAACTTAAGAAAATAAGGTGACTAAAAGATGTGATTTACCAGGGTGGATGCCTAGGGCCTGAGGTTTCCCAGAGAGAGCAGACAGAATGATGAGAGAACTAATGACAACGGAGCTCAGAGAACGTTTAGAAAGAAAGAGTGAGCCACATGGAAGGAGGCCCAGGGCAAACTGAGAAACAGACTCCTACAAAGACAAGTGGTACCAGAGAAATCAAGGAAGAGAGCAGTGCAAGCAAGAAAGGACATTCCATAGGATGAAAGCTGGTTTGCTGTTCTTAAATATGTATTTATATTCTTTCTGTGTGTGAATGCTTTGCATGCACATATGTATGGGCACCATGTATATGTCTGGTGCCCACAGAAGGCAGAAGAGGGCATTGGATCCTCTAGAACTGGGGTTACAGACAGCTATGAACCAACATGTGGGTACTGGGAATCAAACCCAGGTCATCTGCAAGAGCAACAAGAGCTCTTAATTTCTGAACCATGTCTCCAGCCCCAACCTGTTGATTTTGAACTGTGGAAGATGCTGGCTGAAAAGTCTTTAGCAACTAAAAGGTGCCTGGTGACCTTTAAAATCAGAGCTTTAATAAAGCAATAATGGAATGATTAAGAGTGTGAGTTCCAGTTACAACAGGCTGAATGAAGAAGAGTCAAAGGTGTGGGGAAAGGTATCCTGTCTTAAGTGAAGTAAATCATTTTTTAGCCCATCATTCCACACAGTCCTCCTAATCTGAGACCTTCAGTGGATGACCTCACGACATTCTAAGGGATCCTGTAGAAACCTTCAAGATGTGTAAAGAAGCTCTGCAGACACTCTGTCCTAAAGTGAGCTCTGGCTCCACAGCAGTACACAGGAAAACTATCACTGGTGTGAACAGGTGTTCCTGACTCCAGCCTGCTGCTCCACATGGTCTGAAACATCTCTCCTTCTCATACGCAAGGCCCCACCCTAGCAGTGTCTGTTCTGTGGGGCTCCTCTAGCCCCACCATCCCAAGACAACTGCACTCTCCCTCAGGATGTCATGCCAACTATCCCATTTCACTACACAGACTAGTTCTTGGAAACCATAAGCCCTTGGAAGGGATGAGATGGTGGTTAAGAGAAGATCTTTGGGTTTAGACCCAGCTCTTCTGAAACAGCAGCAGTCCAGGTGAGGGAGGGGAGACCCATTACAGCTTGAGGCAGCAATTCATTTATACTCAACTACCATCATTTCCAATACAACTCATCATTGAGGCAGGTGTCTCTAATTCTCTGGATCTATTTGAGAGAGAGAGAGAGAGAGAGAGAGAGAGAGAGAGAGAGAGAGAATCTATTTAAAAGTGTGTGTGTGTGTATCTGTGCCTGTGTGTGATATGAGGGAGCATGCTACAGTGTCTGTGTGGAAGACGTGGTTCACTCCTTACTTTACATGGGTTCTGGGAGTTAAAACCAGGTCACCAGGTTTCTGCAGCAAGCACCTTTACCCACTGAGTCATTTCACTGGTCCTGGATCTATTATTTTTTAAAGTATCACATATTCCCACATTTATTTATCCTTTCTGGTCTCCAGAGAAGCTTCACATGTAATTCTCTCCTTTGAAATCTTTAATAAAATTTTCTTTTATTTGCAGGCATGCTGGAAACTTGCTGCTACTTAAAACCAAGCCCTAGTTCTATCTTCCAAGATCCTAAGTACACATAGTAGTCACAGTGCCTAGGGACAGGGGTGTCCTCTCATGCGGATCCACATATACCACATCAGGCAACACAGGTCATACACAGATCCATTTCATGACAATTTCTAGATTGTCTAACTTGCAGAAATGTGTCAATATCATACTTTTCCTTACTTAATACTTATACTTTTATCTTCTGAGACAAAAAAAGGCTGGGTCATGCCTTTAAACATTTTCCATAGCCACAATAACCAGTAAAATCATTCTTACTAAGGTAGCACTTTTTCAATTCAGTTCAAGAAACATGTTTAAAGTACTTGCCAAATGCCAGGCATAACTCTACCATGCTTGAATTTCGACTAGATGCCCTATCCCAGCCATCCAGGAACAGCAGGAGGGAGAGAAAGGGCAGGTTAAGTCAGGGAAAGGCTGTGATCCCAGCCCAGACAGACATCTAGGAGGCTCAAAGGCAGGCAGGCAGGGATCAATGGAGTCCTTGACATGAAATGGATGATGTATCAAGGAACATGGATTGTATCCAGAGAGTAATACAAAGCTGCTGGAGTTATTAATTGGTATTACATTAAATCAGAATCTTGAGATACTAATTAAGTTTAATTTTTCAGACATAAGAACATAATGTATTAATAACGTTAAATTGCTATTATTTGTTTCTTCTCTTGGAATTTTATTCTAATATATGTGTATTACACACACACACACACACACACACACACACACACACACATGCACAGACACAGAGTTTCTTCATTAGGACTATATAATCTTTTTCCTTTCCTAGTTATATAGATAGCTATATACATAGCTAAAGAAAAAAAAATAACAAGTTTATCTTATATTTTATAGCTTTGCTAAAAAGTTTTCTGGATTTTTTTATATGTCTATGCGTTTAACTTTCAAACAGTATTTTTTATTTCCCCATTTATCTGTTGTTACTTTTTTGTTTGCGTGTTTGAGACAGGGTCTCCCTATGCAGCCCAGGATGGCCTTGAACTCACAGTGATCCTTCTACATGGCCTCCACACTACAGGCATGTGTCACCACACACAGAAGAGCTGTCACTATACTGTTAAATTTCACATAACTTCTGCATTTCTTTAAAATAGCTGATTTATTTTGCTGGGCGTGGTGGCACATGCCTTTAATACCAGCACTTGGCAGGCAGAGACAGGCAGATCTCTGTGAGTTCAAGGCCAGACTGGTCTACACAGCAAGTGCCAGGCCAGCTGGAGCTACAGGAAGACCCTGTCTCAAAAAGACCAAAAAAAAAAGTAAAAATAAAATAACTGATTTATTTTATGTACACGTGTTTTGCCTGCAGGTATGTAAGTGTACCACATGCATGCAATGCTCATGGAGGCCAGAAGAGGGCACTGGATCCCTTGGAGCTGGAGTTAGATAGTTGTTTGCCATGTGCTCTTGACCACTGAGCCATCACTACCATATTTCTTTAAAACAGCAATAAAAAACTATGCTTGTACTGACCCTATGTTGAGCACCCTACTAAAAATATTATTGGTTCTTACTACTCTTTGTATATAAATGAATCCCTCTATTTCTTAAATTGTTTTTAGAACTTTTGTCAAGGAAAAGTGAACTTTGTGA